ACCTCTCTTTTCGAAATATATTAAATATTTTTTCACAGCACTTGACCAATTTGTAGCGTCGAGAAACTTGTGAAATATAAGTACGCTGTGGCTTATCTTTTGGGCAAAGTTTTGCGACAAGTTTTACTTCTGGTTCGCATTATTATTTATGGTTTCTCTTGTGTCCAGTGGCGAATTTTTGTTCTCAAACTATTTACCTCTGTCAGCAGCGAATCTCGTTCAAATTTCCTCGTGTAATTTTCGCCCTGTGGCGCACAGAAAAGTTTTATTTTTTTTTATTTTTATTATTTATTGATGTTTTGTAAAACTTGGCGCCAATTGAACTCGGGAAATATATTTGATATTTCAAGTTGGTGCAAAGTGCTTTAAGCTGATGTCGTGAAATATTTGCTTTGATGCGACGACAGCAATTTCGATTTGCTTGCACAGGTGACGCGGCGTATACGCAATCTTAATTAAAATCCGCGCAAATAACTCAAAAGCAGCGCACACACAGGATCATAATTGATAACTGTTCGCTCGTGCGGTTCGATAAAGGCGCCAAAATGTGGACTTACTTCTGGCTGCTGCTGCTGCTGCTGCTGCTGGCAACTGACAGTAACAGCCAGTGGTGAGGCTCGCGTTCGACTGAGGCACAGGACACAGCTGCCAGCATTTTTATCAATGAAAATTGTTGCTCAGCGTAAGCTGCTGTGCAGACGACTGCAAAGAGAGATAGATGGAGAGAGAGAGAGAGAGAGATAGGGAGAGCGAGTGCGGCTGGCTGCTGTGCTCTCTGTGAGCGCTCTTAAATCGCAGCCACCGAAACCTGATAAGGACGCCGTTTTGTTGTCAGCATGTGCCGCAGATAACCTGCCCAAATGCGGCTTAAATGTGACAGCCTGACAAACTCAATTACTTAGCGTATGACAAGAATATGACAATTCGATGAGGAAATGGCTTTAATGGGAAAGACTCTAGCAAGACTTTGTAAGCACAACAATTCTACGAACACTTAAATCGGTTTCTAGACTTAAATTGCTACAGCCAAGGCATGCAATTAAATTGTCTCTACTGATGATTCTTTCATAAGCAGAACAACAACAACAACAACAATAACAGCAGCAGCTGCCAGCCCTTGACTTGTGACCCACTCGCTGTTGTTATTGGCCGGATTATATTCATATGTTGTTAAATCAGGACATAGTTACTCGTATTTCATTTACAGTTTATGGCCGGTACGTGTGCGTGTGTGCGTGTGTGCGTGTCATCTGGCAGCCGCAGTCCTTTGGTTAGTGTCGGCTCTGCTGGCAACCAGCCCACATTTCCAATTGGAATTTTACATTTGAATGAATACAACGCGCACACATAATATTTAAAATTTCCCCTTTGATTATATTCGGTATTATTTATTGACGCAATTAACAATAACACGACCATACGAGTTAAGCTCAAATACGAATCTGTTTGCTGTTCGCCGTTCGCCGATTTACTTTCGCTTCATCAATGCAATCTCTGTCAATTGAGCAAAGCGCACCGCAATTATTGGCTGCTGCAACTTTAATTAACAGCCAATGGAGCTCTCCTCCGCTGACTGACTCCGAGTTACCCAGCAAGTGTATAGACAGATAAATATTTATAATCCTCTAATACATATATGTCCTAAATATAGCATACTCTCTGCCATATGCTCGGCATCTTATCCTCGCATGCCCCCTCTTGAAAGCCCTCGTTCTTACAATGGGTATCGCATCATATGTCAATAGCTCAGGCTTAAGACAATTGTTGTTGCTCTGGCTTCTAAGCCGCTGTGCGCGTGTAATCAAAGCAAAGTGTGGGCAACAACATGAGGAGCTTTGCACAGTTAATCTGCTGCCGCATAAACGTGACGCGGCTGCTCAACAAGTCACAAAATTAAAAGTGAAACGCACATTTCATATATGTATGTTTACACACACACATATGTACATATACATACATATGTACATATACATACATATGTATATTTGTTTACAAACAACATATATACATATGTACATGTGTACGCGTTGCTTACTATTATCTGAGCTAAACTCAAAGACTTTTAGAAAGCACTTACACTACGCCCTGCCATTGCCATTAACCGCACAAAGTAATTAGTGTCAGCAACAATCTAAAAAGCTAAGAACGAGAGTCTCCGCGGACTTCGCTCACAATGTGGCAGATAAGTGTAAGTGCTTGGCTAGCAGCATTTCAGAAACCCAGATAGCTGCCATCAACATTTCATTTTTCAACAACATTTTTTTCTGTTTGATAGCTTAATGTTGGCCCAAATATTTCTTTAATAATTATAGCCTAAAGATTGTCCTGGTGCAGCAACACATGTGACTGTTCTCAGCTATAGTTGAAAGCATTTTGAGTTCACGACAAATTGGTGCCCCTAAAAGTATGCAGCGAAAATTTCCATATGGTAAATTCTTTTCAACTTTTACCGAATTCGTTGCGCCTCGCGCCTCTGCTGGAACTTGATGAAAAATTTAGCAAATCAATGGAGTTTTTTTTCCATAGGAAGGCTCAACAAACTAGAAATATTTGTATAAATATAGAAAAGGTTCGATTTTTTAAATCATTTTCGGTTGGACCTTTTTATACAAGAGCACCAAAATATTTGTGCGAGTTTTCTGCGAATTTGTGGCGGAGTTCTGGGAGTTCCGGTCGTCTGCTTGCTATCAACACATTGTCCTCGCGAAATCCAGTTATTACGACTTAGGTATGCGTTTCGACTGACAATCATACCATACACACAACACTTCAACTGAAAAGAAACAAGCGAGCAGCAATTCGTAGAAGCTCAAACTTCGAAGTGAACTTGACACATGTCGAAATTGCATTGTATACTTTTAGATGCAGTTTTTGAAGAGAGCTGTTAGTAGCTGCATTTCGAAGCTGAACAAAAAAAGCCAAATAAAATGCTAATTATAAATAACATAATAAAAATAATAATTATAAATAATAATAATATAATAATAATAATATTTGCTCAGAGCTCAATGAATATGAGTTGAAGTCATTCATCCAATCATCCATTTGTTTCAAAACTGAAAAATAAAACATAAATATTAGTTTTTATATTATTATACAAAATAAAATATATATTTTTTAAAATACTTTTGTAGGCGAAAGAAAGTTGAAGTTTTGATGATAGCCGTGATTCATGCTAAAACTACGTAACAAATTATATCAACTTCACATATATGTAGCTTTGGCATCTTAATTTTCAGCCATTCAGGTGAAGTTTTGAATGGCTATTACTTGCTAATATAGGTAGATGTGTGCGTATACTATGCTCCTATAGATACACCTATGACAAACAATTATACGTTTGTTTTGGAGTTGACATTCACACCAAATATTCACGTAGATCTTACTAAACAGTTATGTAAACAGCTGACTTTACAGCCAAAAAGTGAAATGACAAAAAAAAACACACACACACACACAAAATAAAATTTCCATCGCCAAAAAGTCCAATAGTTTGATGAGTCAGTCGCTCGATTGACGATACATCTTTAGTTCAATTTAATAAATATGAAATTCTTCGGAAAGCTGTTGCCCTTCTGAATCATTGTGAAGCTTTTAATGAGAATGCATATTGATTGACGGCATGTCCGCACGAAACTCACTCGAATTATGAATTTTTTATAATCAAATTGTACCGCTGGGGGATGGATTGAGGCTTACGATAATGCAAACAAGCTGTTAAATACAAGCGAAAAGCGGCTGTAATTTAATGCAAGCGCCATTGAGGCCATATAATGTGGCTAGAGTTTGCTGAGAGTGGGGCGAGCTGTCAATTGAATATTCTCATTTCACTTAACAATTTGGTGTGAAAGATAAACGCAATGCAATCAACGTAAGTAAAGCAAAAATTTTAATGATTATAGCCAGAGATAAGAGCTCACATTCCCATCAGATTATATGCACCTGTTTTGTCAGATCAGCTGGCATAGATAAAATTGCATTTCACTGCTCAATCGCCATAACTACAATAGATTAACAGCCATAAACTTTCGCAATGAATTCGCATTAACATTTAAAGACTCTAGATTAACAGTCATTAACTTTCGCTGAGATTTGCTTAGCTTAACAGCTAGTTCTGTTAATTTGAGAGCTTAACATTTTTCAGAATTATAAGTGGCATAATCCAGCAGATTACATTGCTGAGATTAACAGTGGAATATCTATAATTTCTCTGTTAATATTCATTTCGTAACGTAAGCATAGCAGCTCTCTAACGAACGTTAACAGACTAGCAGACAACCAATCAGATCTCGCTCGTAACACGTTTGAAATTAATTAGATACTTGATGAGTCACAAGAGCGTAAAATACAGAAATATATATATATCTCTTAAAAGCCATAAACCATTCTACCATAAATGCATAACGATTTCACAATGTAGTAAAGCTTATGAAATTATTAATACTTTCAAGTTGATTAAGTCAAGCGACGATCTAGCAGCTCTTGGGTGTGGCGGCGCTTAAGAGAGCTTTGATCTGCAGTTTGTTAAGCTAGCTTGGAAAAGTTAATGTTTAGGTCTTTTTGCTTTTTGTGTATAGCTTCGAGATTCAAATTTCCAACTGGGCAGCTGGAATATATATATATTTAAGTATACATTGATTTGCCCAAGAATATTGAGTAAAATTGTAAAGAAGGTAATACAAAAATCAATGAGTGCTCTTTATTGAATTACCCATTGAAAATCCCTATTGACAGAACCCTTTATATAGAAACTTTTGTTGACTTACCATTGGAAAAGTTGTTCTCCGCTTTATCGCATGGACGTCATCGAATCGGACCACCGCTGCCAATGTTTTGAATCAATATTAGCGAGGGCCGATTTAAGTTTCAATTCGACTCGAATCGCAGCGCACTGAGTAAAAAAAAAAACATTATAACAAAAACAACAACAACAACAACGACAACAGGCGTCAACTGCCTTTAGACAAGTTGATATAAGTTTCGGCGACAAGCAGGCCCTAACCGCAGTTGTGCGACCGCATTTGGCGGGTGAACAGCGCTTGACAGACTGACAAATTGGCCGACTGACTAATTGACAGAGAGTGCGCCGACAGACAGTGGTCGAGTCTTGAGGGCTTCACCTATACAGCTCCAGTGCGAAAGCAATCATAATAAATCAGACCGAAATGTGGAGTCAACTACAAAGTGTTCTGTGGCCTTTGATCTTGACCTTTGGTGAGCTCAGCAATTGTATAAATTGTGTAAAAATGCCAAGTGTTGAGATGTTCCGGTGTTGAAACAATTATTTAATTGCTGTTAAATAGAAAGCTAACTAAACGCAGCAGCAGACACGCCCAATTATCAGCAGACAAACTTTGATTAACTGGCAAATATTTAAACAATATTTAGAATTGTTTTGTAAATGTAAATCGGTTCAGTGTTTGTGTGTGAAGTAAATAATACTAAGATTGCTTAAAATAAAACACATTAGCAGACTTCTTTTTTTTTTTTAGAATATATACCGGGTTAGATATATGCCCATGTCAAGGACATGCCGCGAGTTCAAAAACTGTTTCAAATTATCTCTTTGTCGCAATCAACAAATATAATAAGCCAGCACAAGAATACGATAATGCGATGTAGTCGACTGCATGATACTCGCTCGCAGATAGCAAAATTATTGATGTGATTATAACTGTGATTGAGGTCAGCATGGATTCAATTAAAAATCTCGCAAAAAGCCCTAAGATTGTGTATTATATAGAGAGTAGTTATAGGCTTACACTTGCTATAGGCCTTAAATCGATCTATAGAAGAAGAGAAAATTAAAAAAAAAAAATGGAATAAAAATACATAAAAGTATATCAAAAGCTAAGGCCACATCACGAACTTTAGATCCAGTTCGATCTAGTATAAAGTAGCAGGCCTTACGCAATTGATTCGCTTAGGGTATCAAGTTATAATAACAGTGGCACATATCATTTTTCCGATTTGCTAAGACGCTCTAGAGGCACGGCAAAAACAAATGTAATACAAATCGCCAGTCTCAAGTCTTATTAATTTCGCATTTGCCACGCCAACTGCGCGCATATTAAAATAATCTTCATGCCAATTTTCCAGTGTCTAACTACAGAACAAAAGGCACAAAGTAGCTCTAATATACTCCTTCTTTAATTGCATAGGCGAGTGTGTGGAATGAAAACAAAAACAAGAACATGTTTCTGCCGTGTCCGTGCCATCAATTTTTTGTTGAAAAGCAGACAATCACATAATTCTAATCTGCAATTAAGCTCACCTGCTTTTCTTGCTGGCGAGCAGGTGACGTGTCCGCGGACAATTCATAGCCTGGACAAAAGCCGGAAGTGCGAAGCGAATCATGAATCGAGAGTATTTGTTAGTCAAACAATGGCCGAGAATTTAAAGTAGTTATCCAATTACAGAAATAGAATGGAAATGAATGCAACAATTACTTGAGCACACAGACATTAGCCAACGTATTTTCGCTTTTATTTTGGGTTTTGTTTTTTTTTTTTTTGCGTGTTAAGTCGACTTGACTAATTATCTGTTTTCACAAGTGGTACACATTTTGTTTATGGCCAATAATAATAAAAATTGTTAAGTGCTTGCTTCGAATTCCAATAAAAACTATAAATCAGCAAATATATCTCGAGCTGTCGACCATTAGAAAGCAACAGCAACAACAACAACAAGTGACACAAGTCGCACCGAACGAACATTTAGAACAGACAATTAAATCGCTTGTTGTTGTTGTCAAACAAATCCACAAACCTTTCCGTTATTGCGGTTCAGGGAAGTGCGAATAATACGAAATAGTCTATAATAGCTGGCGCGATAATTGTTACCTAATCACTGCTAATTGATGCAACGATTCGCCATGACACATGTTACACGATGTCTACCTGCCTACGGTCCCGGGCTGCACTCGCTAAATGGCTCATTTTCTTGATATAAAACTTAAGTACACTCAGCAGCAAAGTTTGTGTATAGAATTTTAATTTGCTGTTGGGTTAGTTTATAGTACATAATATGCTGAGTTGGTGCCAAATCACGTTTCACTCAGCAATCTTGATTAGAAAGAGGTAATCCATGTTGGAGTTTATCTCAGGGGTTTTTTTATGTCAGTTGTTCAAAAAAATATTCCCCTATAAACAAAATTCTGAAGAAAAAAATACATAATTGGCGATAAAACTCTGACAAGTTTTGATCTAAATTTAAGGTACAAAAAAACTACGACATTGCATAGAAAAGGACGAATATATACATATAAAGGAATAACATATAGAAATATATTAATACATACTATACTACATATACTATATACTATAAGAGCTATAACTTAAGTTCAAAGTATTCCCTATACAAATTTGATTCGCAATCACGCTGCACAGTGTATACCTGCCCAATTAGGGCTACATTCGGCAAATTCAAAAGATCAATAGCAAAAGTTTAATTTATTTGAACGTTCAATTGGGGTTAATCGTAGGCCTATTTTTAGCTACCACAGAACTGCCCAAAAATAGTATCGAACGTAATTAAATATTTGTCAATTTGTCGCCGATGTCACCGCGATCAAACGGCGTCGACGTCTCCGCTTGTCCAGGCAATTAGCAAGTCCACAGACTCTAAACGCGTCTCAATTATTACAGCCGCCGTGACGTTGGCTCAAGATTTCGGCTACGGCGGGAAGCATGGACCGGAGCATTGGGGCGAGGACTATAAGAAGTGCAGCGGCAAGTTCCAAAGTCCCATAAATATCAATGTGCTGAATGTAAAGTTCAAGACGTATTGGCCATTCACCTACGAGAATTTCGATGCAACGCCCAAGCGCGTCCACTTGACCAACAATGGGCACACGGTCCTCGTCACCATGGACTTTGACAAGGACAAGGTGCCGCGCGTGAAGGGCGGCCCATTGGAGCGCAAGACCTTCTATCAGTTCGAGCAGTTCCATTTCCATTGGGGCGAGAACGACACGGTGGGCAGCGAGGATCTGATTGACAATCACGCCTATCCCGCCGAGCTGCATGTGGTCATGCGCAGCCTGGACTATCCAGACTTTCAGAGCGCCCTCAACAAGGATCATGGCTTAACCGTGTTTGCATTCTTCTTTACGGTAAATGGGAAACTTGCTCTGAATTTTCACAGTAATAAAATTTACAAACATTTATTTTCAACAGATAATGGCTGACGACAATCCCAATTATAGGGAATTTGCTGAGATGCTCGGCTCGATAGATCGCAAGGGCAAGTCTGTGGACCTGCCGAATCCCTTGCCTTTGCTCAAGTTTTTGGGCACGAATCTGGAAGGCTATTACACCTACATAGGCTCGTTGACAACGCCGCCCTGTGCCGAGGAGGTCGTTTGGGTAGATTTCACTGAGCCCATAGCTATATCGGAATATCAGGTTCGACTGCAGACAAACATATATCTATTTAGTATATTTTTCTTATACGTACATATATCCCGTTCAGCTGAGTCACTTTCGTCTGCTCACCGCCAACGATGATCATTTGAAGAACAATTTCCGACCCACCCAACCGCTCAATGATCGCATCGTTTACCGCAATGAGCCCACCGACGACGATCTATTCATGCCCTGGAGCTCGATACCTTTCGTGGATGCGGACAATGCAGCTGGCTGCCTGCCGTACGGCGTAGTCGGGGCAATTTCTGCTGGCATCGGCTGCCTGTTGTTTGGCTTGTCAAGGACTCTGTTTTAGTGGCTTTTAATTAGAGCCGCGTTTCGTGTGGCGGGGGGCGGGACTGAGCAGGCCTGGGTTGGGTTTGGGGTTGGGTTGTGCGGCCATTATCCCGTGCATACGTTTTGTATTAAATCGCATCGCACTCGCATGCTCAACATTTTAATTAAGCCCCGTAATTTAGCTCTACCTCGACGCTGCTTTGTGTGCCGACAATTTAAATATTTGTGCCGAGAATGGGCCAAGGATGAACTGGGAACTTGACCCAATACGCTAAGCACATGTCGAAAATTAATAAGCGCACATGCCACAGCCACGCCCACGTGCCCATTTAGGTATGAGTAACAAAAAAAGAAAAGAGAAAAACAAAAAAACAAATGCTTTAAGTATTAAGAGTTAACACAGCAGGTTTATTCAACATTTAGGCAGCGCACATGGCGGCGCTTCTATTTATTTGATTGATTATTCATGAATACACTCAAATTCGCTCACACGCACACACTCACATGCCGCATACGATTGTTTCTGTGAGCATTTGTAATCATAAGTTATTTATGCTCTTTCATTCAATTTCCATGCCTCGATTCGATATTATAATGCCACTGCACCTTGTGATTTACGAGCCAATGCTCCCTAGAAGTGTAAACTCTATATTTATATGTGTACTATATTTATATATATACGTGTCTATCAGTAAATAAATAAAAACGAAACAAAATCCACAACAGCTCAAATTGTTTGTTATCTGTTGTCATCGGAGCTTTGTAAATTATCTATTTCTGATTTTTTCCAAATAGATAATTTTAGTTAAGCCTCAGATTTCGATAAGTTTCATCCATATACATACGTTTGCCTGTCGACAAACAAGGCCGACCTTACATAAGACTTCTGTTAGTGTAGCAAGAGTTATCAAAAGACCTTGATGCTCACACACAAAGAAAAGGAAAAGTATTCCATCAAGAGCCCAGTATTGCATGATTGATTTAAGCACAAACGGCAAGGTTCAATGATTGATGAATGCGGCAAGCGAGTAAATAATATGAAAAGTAATTCGCATTTAAAATAGGACTTAATCAAGTTCAACTCTTACAGAGTAGAGCTAGGTTCAGGCGAAAGAGTCCGACTAGGAGTTACCCACATTTTATAATAAAATCAACGTTGCTTGGATTTGTAACTAATGTAACTAATTTTATTTTGCTTTACTTAGTTTTTACAGGTTTTCTTTTTTTCAATAATTTATTTTGTATTATCATTATCATCGAATTGTTTTGTGTGAAATATATATATATATATTTACTTAGCATATGCATATATAGCTGCATTTCTTGTTTCTTATTTCATTCATTTTGTATATGTATATATAAATATGTACGCCTGGATTTGTTACTTTACAATCTTAAAACTAAAACTGCGCCAAATGATGTGGCCCATATTTATTTTGTTGTTTGTGTGCTTGGTTTTCAGCTTTTGTTTGTTTTTCTGTTTTTATTAAATATGCTCGCAAAACTCTACAATAAACGCTGTATATATATGTATATTTATATTTATATATATATATAATGTGTATATTCAAAATGTGAAATAAAAAATTGTATTTAAAAATATGTAATTTGTTTATAGTATTATGCACGCATTAATATTACATTTGTTTAGTGGTTTTTATTTTCATTTTGTGTTTTGCGTTGGTCTTATATTAATTTTCTTTTTTCTTTGTTAATGAAATATAGATTTATTTATTTGTTTTAATGCAAGCTGCTCATATAACTAATATATATATATATTGTGTATAAATTACTAATATAAATTAAGCACTCAAAATATTGCAGCTGCTACAAACGCTCATGCAAATACACATATAAGTTATATATATATATACAGTGCATGGATTGCATTTGGGGGCTTTAAGAAATTTTTGAAAACACACATTTGAAATTTTTACTTATTAGCTAGGTATTTTTGTTTTTTTTTTTTCTCTTTTTTTTTATGAAAATTTATACAAAACACGATTTTGTTGCTTTTTCTTATTTGTTTCCGTTTTTTTTTGCTTGTTTTTCTCGATTTTTTCTGATATAATATAATACTAGAGTTAAGCCAAACAAAATAATAAATTAATGAGTAGTAAGAAAGCCAAGCTAGCCAAAACATATGATAAAAGGATTACTATATAAATCAAAACTAAGCAGCAATAAGCGCACTAACACTACGAAATACATATAGTTCAATTGTGGCTGGAAGTACATTAAGTTTAAATTACATATACAACTCTCAGCGTAGGAGATGTCAAAGTAGTTGCAGTTGCAGTTGCACTTCTCTAGAAAGCCCTTTGTACAATACATTCTTTACACATATATATATAAATACATACACATATATCTATAGACTGACTGTGGTTGATCGGCAGCAAAGTGCACTTGGCTTAGCCGACAATTTCTTGGGCTCGACTATTACCATTCAATTCAAATCACGTCCCGTATATACATATACATATACATACTATATATATATATATATATATATACTAAAATAGCAAGTTGTCGTTTGTTGTTGTTGTTGTATTTTGGTTTTGCTCTGTTTTGTTTTTTGTTTTTAGCTAATTGCAAAAGTCTAATTAATTTGATTTGAAATAGAGCTTAGTGTTTAGTCATAGGGTATTATCAAAGTGCTGCTATAGTCTGCCAAAATGTTTTGTTGCACATTCCGCAGTTGAAAACCTTACAAATTTGTGTGCTAAGTTTGTTCCATTTGCCTTAATCAATTCTCGTAAGCTTAAACGATAATTAACACGCTTAGGTCTCTCTCGAATTTTTGTTTAGAATTCTTTTAACACTATACACTATAAAGACGATACTTATAAAATATTGCGACCATCATGTTTTCTTTGCTTGTTTCGTCAGTTGGTTTCATTTGATTTCTAATTTGCGATTCCCTCTTCTCTCATAAGTGGATCGTCTCAGCTGCCCAGTTGGAGAACACTTAACGTAGTTGATTTCTGTAGATCAAGGGAAACACAAATTAGCAAATAGTCAAGTTAGGGATTGCAGTGTATACAGATGGATAAATGTGGTTATGCATGGATATGATAAATTAAAACGTTTACTAACTTTTTACATAAAAACTGGACAAAGCGTTGCACAACTTAAAGTTGCTAGTTATACATGTATATATATATAAATATAGCTTGGAAACACGATATACATATTTGTTATGGTATATATATATAAAGGGACCAATGCTATAGCTATATAAATTATGAATGCTGATCTTTTTTTCATTTGCTGATGTTGGTTGTAGTTGTTGCTGCTGTTGTTGTGGAAAAGCAAAATGTAAACGTTTGAACACAAAAATCACACAAAGCATTTTCCTCACAGCCGGCCGGGCTGTGAGTATTTTCTTTGTTCAGTTGCTTTTGGGATTCTGCCTTCTGCCTGGCTGGTCCACTTATCTGGGCCGTTGTCTGTTTTGGGATAGAAATAGAGAGGTGGGCGTGATACAGATACCAAATATATGTATATACAAACACAAAATGTTAACGAACCGACAAATCTTTAACACAAAAACAATAAGCAAAAGTCATAAAGTCACACAAATACAGATGAACATATGAGCCGAATGATTGACTGTTGATGACTGTTCTTGTTGTTGTTGTTGTTGTTGTTGTTGTAGGTAATCCTAATGGATGTCGTAGTGGTACTCACCTAAAGTATTGATCGTGCAGCGATTGCCGTTGAAACTCGGCGGCCTGTAAATACTGTATATATGTAATTAATCAGTTAGGAATATTAAAGTGGGATTGGGGAAACCTGTAGTTGATCTGCATAGGACATCCTCAGCAAAACGTCCGAGTGCGGCTCCCTAGGTATAAGCATATTTGGACGCGGATATTGCCCAACATTCGCTACGTGCCGAGAAGACGAGAAGGGAGAGAGAGAGAGCAGAAAAAGAGAGAAAATTGAGTTTCGTTTATGATTTGATCAACGTAACGGATATACAAACTCACGTGGCAGTTGGAAACCGGCCTCCGGTGGTTGCGGCTGTGGATGCAAAGGCAAATGTAAATGAGTATGAGAGTGTGCATGATATTCTCTCGTCAATCGTATCTGAAAATTATTGAATATCGTTGATAGTTTCAAAAGAGCCAGGTGTGCTGCCTGAGAGATAAATGGAGAGCCTGCTTGCAACATAGATGCGACATTTGTTAAGTGGGAACACAGCGGGAGTATGCGAAATGTGAAATTGTGGATAATGCGTGTTAGCACCGTCTGGATGACAAACAAATGTGGTTAGAGAGTGGAGAAGAAGAGATCTCTCTCCTCCAGGTGAGGCGCACGACAAAATTCGAATACAAAGTGGGTTAGCACACGTGCTTGGACATGGACATGGACACATGATGTACCTAAATTTATATCATTATTATAATTATTATTGGTTAATTGAGCTGACAAGTGGACAAGTGATTGATGCGATAGATGTTTTCTGAATTCATTTTGTTTAAAAAGTGTTTTGCTTTTGTTTTTGTTTTGTTTTGTTTTTTCCAAATACGATTGATTTTGTGAATATGAGTGGATTTTTGAGTTTCAAGTTTGGTTTACAAGATGAGAGATGGCCATGCAATTGATACGCACCATATGCTCGCCCGGATCCATGCCGACATGATGAGGAGGCGGTATGCCCAGACGTTCGCGTTCCATTTGCGATATAGCCGGATTCGCATACAGCGGAAACTGTGAGGGATGTATGCCACTGTAAGAGAAAGAAGAGTGAGTTCGAGTTTCTCGAGAGGATCTGGCGAATGGCTAATCTTACCGTCTGTAGTATTCCATCCAGTGCGGATCCAGTCGAGATTGACTTGCGGCCGCCGCTTGTGCGTTCTTAATCTCCTCCAATTCTCTGTAATTAGTCAAGGTTGGAAGCATGAGTAATTGCCTACAATTTGGAGAAGCAGAAAGGGGTTTAATATCATGTCGAGGATACTGGTTAAGGTCAGGCAAATGGTAAATGGCAAATGGAAAATAGGCAGCAAATGGATTAGAAACTAAATGCATCAATTTGGACGTGCGTTTGAATAAGCGTCAATTGTATAGGTTAGCATATGGAAGGATCTCAGTTATCAATGAGAATATGAGTGTGTGTGTGTGCGTGTGTGGGCGGGTGCGGTTTCTGGGGTGACGGATGATGGTGCGAGGTGCTTTGAGATGAGGATTTTGGCAGGCTTGTACTAGGTACTGTACCTCTCTCTGCTATACATGGGGCTCATTGGATGATGATAAGGCACCATCTGCTCAACAGGACTGAAATCGAAATGGAGATTATTACAATACAAACGCGATAATCAACGACTACAAATAATCAGACTACATAAACAATCAATTATTATAATGGACAATCAAACAAACAACTAAAAGAATACTCCATAATCAATGCAATGCTCTTGCAGGCATCTGACGCTCACCTGAAGGCGACATGTGGACGCGCATACTCCGACAATTGGCGCAGCGCTGGTGTATCCGCATATGGGGGCTTTAGCTCTGCCTTCATCTTGGCCTGCTGGGCGGCTTGTTGTGCGGCGGCTGCTTGTTGCTGTTGTTGTTGCTGTTGCTGCTGCTGTTGTTGCTATTGAGAGAGAGAATATTATAATGTTTGTCGTGTCTTAAAATGAATTCCCGTTTCTGACCTGTCTTCGCTCGCGCTCCTTCTCGGCCAGTTTGCGATCGCGTTCCTCGCGCTTGCGCGCTAGCTTGGAGTCCGTAACCGGCTTGAAGATCAGATCCGTGCGCGTGCACGAATTGTAATCGCCGCGATCGATGTGACGCACAAAGCTGCAAGAGTCAAGTTTTAAGTAAATAATTTACAGCTCTCTCTCCCCTCTCTCTCTCTCTTTCTAGGTACTCACATTGCCGATTGCGAGCGATGGCATTCGGTATCATCGGGCTTCGCCTCGGGGCTGGGTCCGCGCGGTATGTTGTGCGTGGGACTGGGTATCTCGGGCTCTGGATCGGGCTCAATGTCAATGGGCACTAAAAACAAAGAATACAATATTAAAGAACAGCTCTGCATTTCCTGCTCAGCTCTCAACACTCACGTGGCTCGGTCGGATGATGTGCACTGCCCAGGCCCGCAGAGTTGGCTGAGTGCGCGTGCGCACGCAACGCGTCCATGTGGGAGGTCGGCTTCAAGCCATGCGGCTGTCCATCTTGCGGCGCAAACGGCGAGGCATGCGGCGGCGGCGGATAGCCGGGTATGTGAGCACCCGGATAGGCGCCGGGCGGCAGACCCGTGGGCGTGCCGGGACCACCTAGGCCAACGCCCACACCCACACCCACACCACCTGGTCCCTGCGGCGTCTTTGGCGTCGGTGGTTTATTCTGTGGCGGACCACCAGGTTGTTGTTGTTGCTGCTGTTGCTGTTGTTGCTGCTGCTGTTGTTGTTGCTGTTGCTGCTGTTGTTGCTGCTGCTGCTGTTGTTGCTGCTGTTGCTGCTGCTGCTGTTGTTGCTGCTGCTGCTGCTGAGGCGTCTTGTGCTGCTGTTGTTGTTGTTGTTGTTGCTGGGCAGCCGCCACAGCCGCCGCATGCTGCTTCTCGGCGGCCACAGCTGCCGCAGCTGCGGCATTCTGCTCATCCTGGCGCGACGGCGGCGGCGGACCCGACAGCCCAGCATGATGGGCGGCCATCACGGCGGCGGGATCCAGTGGGCCGGATGGCGGCGGTGGCTTCATGTAGGCGGGGAAGCCAGGTCCGTACGGCGCATAGCCATAGGGCGAGTTGAAGGGATTGTGATGATGCGGCGAGTAGAAGACCGAGGGATGCAGCAGCGGATGCGGATACGGCGACTGCCCAGGATGCACACCAATCTGCGGTATGCCGCCGCCTGGCGCAATCAGCGGCAATGGCAACGGCATTTGTGGATGCCGTATGACCGGCGGCGAGGCACCCGGTCGCAAATGCGGCGGCGGCGATGTGCCCAAGCCTCGTTGGCCCGGCTGTGGTGCGTACATCTTGCTCAGCGGACTGGCCATCAGGCCCGAGGCGCTCGACACGGGCGGCGGCGTCATGTGCGGCGACTGCTGACGCAGCAGCGCATGCCGATCCCGTTCGGCAACAGCGGCCGCTGCGGCGGACAGCGCCGACGACGACGGATGATGGCTCAGCGGCGACTGCGGCACCGGATGCAGCGGACTCTGCCGACTCAGGCTGCCCACACTGGAGGCGGGCGAGGCGGCGCGATGAGCAGCGGCTGCGGCCGCAGCGGCGGCAGCTGCCGAGGAGTTGTTCGGCGTGCCGCTGTTGCTGTTGCCACCAGGGCCACCAGCTGGCGGGGCACCGCTCGAGAGTTGGACGCTGGGACTGGCGCGACTGAAGGCGGACGAGGGCACCGTGTTGGGTGTGGTGGAGAGCGACATGCTCGTCGAGATGGCCACCGAGTGCGGCGTCGACGGCCCCGACGAGGAGTGCGGATGCGACAGATGGCTGGGCGGCGTGCGCCGGCTGAGCGCCGACTCGGGCAGGCCACCCAGACCGCCGGGACCGGCCAGGAGAGCGATGGGACCGCCGCCATGGCTCAGACCTGCTATCGAATGCGACAGCAGATGATGGCCCGGATGCGCCAGAGCTGCGTGTGCCGGATGACCAGGTGGCAGGTGCGCCAAGTGCGGATGAATGGGCATCGGATGGCCGATGAGTCCCGACGGATGCGCCAAGCCCGGCAGCGGGGATGTCCGATGCGCATGCGGTGACTGATGTGGCATCGGTCCTGGTCCTGGCCCCTGCCCCGGCCCCTGTCCTGGACCCGGGCCCGAGTTGATGCTGCTCATCGAGCCCGTTGGCGCCGTCGAGGTGTGCGAGGCGGGCGGCTCCCGTGACGTGGGCAGCGGTTCGTGCATGCTGCGCGGCGGCTGTTGCTGCTGCGCCGGCGATGGCGTACGCACTGTGCCCGCCGGGCTCGGACCCGGCTGTTGCTGCGGCTGCGGCTGCTGCTGATGGCTGGGGCCCAGCGGATGCGCATGGCTGTGCGGCGGCGGTGGACCCGGTGCCTGCAGCGACATGGCCATGGGCGCATGTGGATGCATGGCCGCGCCCAGATCGGGATGCCGGTGCAGCGCCTGCAAGGACTGTAGGTGCGCATGTTGGTGCGGATGCATGTGCGGGTGCATGGGATGCGAGGGCGCCATGGTGGACATCGTGGGCGCGCCCAGCGAGGTGACGACGCCCGTCAGCGAATTGGCTATTGATATTTGTGCGTGCGGCCCTCCCGGTCCCGGTGGCAGGCCGTGCTGCAGCCCGGGCGGTCCCTGGCCAGCCATCGAGCTGATGGGCTGATGCAAGGACGTCGGCGGCTGCGGACCCGGGCCGGAGCCGGAATTCGGCGGTGGTCCATGGCTGTGCGGGGAGATGAGATTTTGTGGATGCATGCCGGGTGGCAGGCCGCCGCCAGCTGGCGAAGGCATGTGCGGCGAGGGATGTGGCGACTGGAACTGCTGCGGCTGCGAGGATGGCGGCTGCGAATTGCTATTGCTATTGCTGCCCTGGCTATCCTGGCCGGGCGTCGAGCGTGCCGAGGCATCGATGGGGCTCTCCGGCGGCGGGCCATATGCCGAAGCCTTGATCAGATTCTCCCCGCCGGCTGACGACGATACAGGCGGCATCGGGTACTTGAGATCCTGCGGCTGTGGCGGCCCGTACTTCGCCGCCAGCGGATCACCGTACTTGAGCATAAGTCCGGTCGGCTCGAACGGTCGCCCCAGCGGCGGCGTCTGCACATCGTGCTGATAGTGCGGCTTGGGCATGGCAATGCCGGGCGGAGGCGTGGCACCCGGCGGCTGCTGATCCAGTGGCGGGCCACTCTGACCCGCCGGCGCGTATTTGTGTGGCGGACCGGGTCCGTCTAAGCTCGAGCCAATGCTGTGCGGCAGATGGGCAAAGCCCGGCTTCACATCGGGTATCTTCAGCGCCTCCTGGTAGCCGGGCTTGGGCGGCGCTAGCTCCACTGGGTACTTGCCCTGCTGTTCGATCATGTACTTCATGTCGTACTTGCCCACGGCCGCCGCGGCAGCAGCCGCTGCCTGCATTTCCTGGCTGTACTTGAGCGCATCCAGCGGAGCAGGCACCGGATACTTCAGCTCCTGTGGTGCGAATTTGCCGGCACTTGGCTCGAATTTGACGGCCGCCTCGTTGTACTTCATTTCCATATCGCCAGGATATTTCTGAGGCGCTGGTGCCGACACGCCCCCACTGCCGGGATCGCTGTGCAGCTGCGGCGGTGGCTGCGGAGGCGGCTGGCCGGGCGGCCCATACTTCAGCTGCCCGTCAATGATGTAGCCGGCAGGCGCCTGCGGCGTTGGTCCATGTGGCATATGCTGCAGATGCAGTGGCTCCGGATTGCTGCCCTCGCTGGAGCCATGATGCAGTCCACCCAGCTGGGCATTGGGCGGCGGCCCCGCCGAGCTGACGGGCGGCAGTCCGCTGGCATTGATCTTCAGATCTTCGTTTTTGATTTCGATTTTGACCTTGAGATCTTGTGGCTCGTTGCTGTTCTGATTGCATGTGGCGTCCATGGAGTCCTCCATGGGCTCCTTCTTAATGTAAACGGCTTCCTGCATTGGCCCAGATGCAGCTGACACGGGCGGCACGCCCACCATCTGTTGCTGCTGCTGTTGTTGTTGCTGCTGCTGTTGTTGCTGCTGCTGCTGTTGTTGTTGTTGCTGCTGCTGTTGCTGTTGTTGTTGCTGCTGCTGCTGCTGTTGGGGCAACGTTTCCTGCTTGATGGTGGCCAGCTTCTTGAGCAGCTCGGGATCGCGTGCGGCTGCCTCGTTCTCACATATCTCCATCTTCTCGATGGCCTCCTTGCGATCGCGGTCGACTGACGCGTTGAGCGCCTCCACCGTCGCAATTGTGGGCACCTTCATGGCGATCGGTGCGACCGGCACAACAGCTGGCGGCGCCTCCAAGGAGCTGGACTCTTTGAGCAGGCCATCCACGTGGGCGGGCTTGATACTGAGCGGCTGTATACTGCTGGGTGCCTGGATGTTGGTCTCCTCATCCATGTTCTTGATGGTATCCTTGCTGTCGTCCGCGCAGGCAGTTTCCGCTTTGATCGATTTCTCGTTGACCACATCCGACTTGGAGTCCACGTCGCCGGACAACGTGACAGCGTTCTCCTCCTTGCAGTTGATCTCCTTGCTATCCTTGCTGGACTGCTGCTCGATGGTGCGCCCATCCGTGTCGGTTGTATTCGACTCGCCATCGTCGAGAACAGAATCGGGCCGACTGTCGGAGTTCATGCTCTCGACGGGACTGTCGGGACGCTTGCGCGGCTTCTCCTTGACGTTGTCCTCGCTGTTGTTGATCGCCTGCTCGCTGCTGTTGCTGTTGGTCTCTGCTTCGGTGCGCTTTTTCTTGTTGGGCGTGTCCTGCTTGCCGCCCTTGCGCTTAGTGCCCGATCCCTCCGCCACGGTCTTGGTGGGCGTCTTCGGGCTATCGCAAGCAGCGGCGGCGGCTGCTGCTGCGGCGTCCGGTGTTTCGGAGCCGCGCTTGGGTCGCTTCCCGTTCGCCACGGCGTTGCTGTTGTTGTTCGCCGAGCCAGAGGACTGATCTTTGCCGGAGCTGTTGCCGGATGCGTTGACGGAGGCAGCACCAGCCGCGGCGGAGTTGCCACCGCCACCAGATGCAGCGGCGCTACTGCTGTTGTTGTTGTTGTTGTTATTCTGTTGTTTGTTTCTAGTCCTCATCCTAGATGGTGATTCATCCCTTTTGTTGGTCAGACTCGAATCACTGTCACACTCGCTGACGTCGTCCTCGGTTAGAGAACTGTTCTCCTCCTTGGAGACAGCGGGCGATGAGCGATTCGCCGTCTCTGCAGCCGACGCCGCCGCCGTCGCCGTCGTCGCAGCTTGTGGTTCCGGGGTGTCCTCCTTTTTGGGAGGTGTATTGTTGGCGCGCGTAACACGATTGCGACGCAAGGCGCTCTGTCTGCGTCGCCGATGCGGTCGATTATTGTTGGCGCCGGGCGTCTTCTTCCACAAATAGTAGAACTCGACCAGCTCTGGTGTATCCTTGTGTGGCAGCAGATCCTTGTGGATCCTAAAGAAATTCTTGCCAAATTGTCGCAGACCCTTGATGAACTTTTTCGTTTCGTCCTCGGTCCACTTCTTGTCAATGCCCTTCGAAACGGGACACTTTACGAGTGCTTGTAGAGCTTTGCCTGGATCGTAGCCAGAATCGTGCAGCTATTCGAAATTGAAATGGAAATGGAAATCAAATTAGTTAGTTAACAGCGCTGTGGGTTACCCCAGAAGGGTTAGGTCATCATCACTCACCACGTCGAGTGCGTTAATTGTTGTGTCGTCGCGACTGGCAGCCAAACAACCGTCTTCTAAACCGCCATCACACATTCCTTGAAATGCAGCCATGGAGCGTGCCGCACGCAGAAACATTAACAAGTCGCCATCGGCCACAACGCCAGGACTCCATCTTGTTTCCTCTAATTCACGTTCATCGGTTTCCTTGTCAACGGGGAAGCTTGAGATTGGATTATAATCGGGCAGTTTTGCCTTCAGTCACAAGACAAGACAAGACAGAAGAAGTTGCCGGTATTAGTTAATTCAAAAATAACGTAACGGAACTCCAAAAAAAAAACAAACATCACATCAAGTCTAGTATTTTCTTATCATCTCTTCAGTTAGTTACGTCACATACACCACAGACACAAGACAAAGTCTACGAGAAACACAATAAGCCAAAGAGCGTGGCCCAGTGCCGGAAATACTTTAGCCAAACATTATCCATGCAGGACACGAAGCTCTCGGGAAGCTTGCACTCGTTCTATGATAAATTGTCAGAGTATATTCGGAATATATACAAGTCTGTAATTTGTCTGGTGTCATACGATACGACCATATACAACTTAAGACTAATGCATGAAATGTATGAACAATGTCTTGATGTGAGGTGTATGTGTGTCTATTGGGTATTTTTCGGGATAGGAAAGTGGGTATTGGGAGAATATCAGCGCCAGGACTTGAGGAGTTACTCTATGTGTTAGTTCTAATATAGTATATAATATATGGCCAATTGGGTAAACGATTTATTTACAGCTGTTATTTATTGTTTATAAATAATAAATTTTTAGATAATTATCAAGCTACAAATCAAAGCTGACTAACAAGTTGCCCACAACGACGACTCGAGGCATGCGATTAGATAGAACTGTTGAAAACTTTTATATTACTCTGTCTTTTCATATATAATTTATAGGCATAATAAACCATATTTTAAACAACTATCTCTGTGCATTCAAATTCATTTCAAGTTCTTTAAGGTTTCGTTGGTTTACCAGACTTTTGCTTATCTTTAGAGACTCGTAAAGTTAACCTTTTGAGCTCAAGCTCCAAAAATATCTAAGTGAATCAGACTTTTATACTAGACTCATAATTTTGTATTATTTAACTATACAAATATAATTTGAATTATGCCAAGAGTCATAGCGTGAGCAACTTGATTAAAATTTCGATTAGATTTTGAAGGAGAGCGAAGATTCGCTTCGACTGGACTGGGTTGGGGGTGGTGTTAGTTGGACATACAATTAGAACTTGCAACATTACGATTACAATACAAAAAGGAAAAAAGTATATATACATTTTTTTTCTTTGTATTTTGAATTTTCATTTTGTTACCGTGAGCTGAATTTCTGAATTGTGAGAGTTATGTACGTACATAGACATCGTTTACCTGGTGGCCGGGACCCACTCGTATTTCTCCTTGAGTGGAGGCCGCCATCACCCTTTAAAAACACGCTTCCGGTCCAGTGTTAAGCCTTTTTATGCCCGCTATGATATGAAAATTCAACTGAAAAATATAAACAAAATGAAATCAATAAATTTATGTTTTTGGAATGAAAATGGTTAAAATGATTAACATTCTTCAATATATATATATCATGCGCATCATAACTAACGACTAACAGATACCCTGTACTTAATGTAGTTTTTAAATTTAACAAATATTGCTGGAGATATGAAAAAACCAAATATTTCAATGATAAGATTGCTATACGAAAGACTATATTCCATTTTTAACATCGATAACTCTTATAATCCTCGAAAAGTGAATAAAAAACTGTTCATTCAATAACAAATTTCATCCCTTGAACATTTTTATTTATGAACATATTTTTTTTCATATATACATTTCCCTCGGCCCGTTCCAATCAGTCATTATACCCCACTTAAGGCATTTGGCATGGTTTCAAGGGTATTAGAAATGCTGATATGAACATTGCATAAATAAATAAGCCATAAAAAATATAATGCCATGTAATGTGTGTGCCCGTAGAATAGGCGAGGCTAAGCGTAGCAAATCTGGAGGCCAGACAAGTTTAGGGAGTTTTATACGACCCGAGCACTTAATCGTTTGCATATGGTATAATGCGCCTGCTGCCAGTACAGCCAGCTGGACGGCCAAGAGGGCTGAGCTGAGCTGACGGAACAGTTACAGCAGCTATATATTCATATCCCTCTCTCTCTCCCTCTTTCTTTCTCTCTCTCTGTGTGTGTGTGTGTGTGTGTGTGTCTGTCTGTCTGTGCCTGGTTATTTTTTTTTTTCTTTTGGCCGCCTCTCAAGTGTGCGTGCAGCTGTAAACAGATTTTCCGCTCAAGTAACTTGGCGAATAACTGTAACGAGGCTGGCCGCCGGGCCGGGCGATCTGTCAGGGGAATTATCATTAAATTTGCTTACGAATCAATATCAGTGCCAATGCACAGGCACACACACACACACACACACACACACACACGCATACGCATGCCAGCGGTTGCGGTTGTGTGGCAACGGCACACAAATTATGGCAATTAAAATCAATTAATTAAATGCAGCAGCAGGCAAATAAAAAGAGCATTGCGCCTCGCCTCGCCTCGGCTCGGCTCTGTGCGGCGCGGCACGGCTCGCCCCGCCGCAACGCAAAATATATATAAAAAGGAAAAAAAATTAAATAAAACAGAAAATATTGTCGACAGATTTACACTCAATAAGCCACGACACGCCGCCTAAATGACTGACGACGCGGCAGCGTAGGGTGCCCTGGCGGACAACCGAAACGGACAAGCTGCTGGGCCCGCACAGTGGGGCAGAACATAATGAGGAGATACGGAATGCAAAGAAGGAGAAATTGGAGCCAACGAACAAGAGAGTGAGGGAGAGAGATAGAGGTGGGGATATCGATAACTTATTCAACCATTTTGACTTGTAAGCGATACCCCAACGAAATGAGTAAATTTAATAAGTGAAGAGAGTGAGAGTGAGAGAGATAGAGAGAGGTAGAGAAAATCAGCTCTTAAAAACTTTACAGTAAATAAAAATTGACTATCGATGACTATAAGCTATCGATAGCTTCTTTACATCTTCACTTGTAAGGCATAAATCATCTAAACGCATTCAATGAGCCGCATTACGCCGCCTAATCTGAGCACATTTATATTAATATAAAACCCCGTAAACTTTTCAGCTACTTTATGCCACTGTGCAGCGCTCCACTGCGTTTGGGGCCAACACTTATCAGCGACATCAGCAGCAACGGCAACGGCAACGGCAGCAGCAGCAGCAGCCAGGTTAGCTGGCCTGGTTGGCTAACTGGCTGGCTGGCTGGCTGCTTGGTTAGCAACTTTTTTTTTATGGCAGGAAAGTCGTGAGTGGAAAAATTTCACATAAAAAAGTAGAAGGTGAGTAGCTCCTGGCCTCGTCTACGTGGTCTCGCTCTTCCTCTACCTCTCTCTCTCTCTCACTCTATCTCTCCGTCTCTCTCTCGCCTGCTCTGTTCTGTGCTTCACTCTGGCGTTCTGGGCACGCGAATAGCCCAAGTGGCTGCTCTGGCGCTTTGGGCAAAATTGTGTAATAACTGCGAGCAATGTGCTAAGCTGTGTGTACTCAAAGCCTCCCCCTTTGCCCTCTATCACCCTCTTCTACACATCACGCTCTTCTTCCTGCCTGCTGTTGCTGCTGCTGCTGCTGCTGCTATTTCTGCGGTGGCTGTTATAAAACAAATGTACTACAAAAAGCGCCGTTGTAACGCACAAAAGCCATAAAATCTAAAAAGGCAAAATGAAAGGCTCGAACATTTTTGCCACCACCGAAAAATGTGCTGCATGGAGAGAGCAAGATAGAGAGTGGAAGAGAGAGAGAGAGTGTGTGAGTGAGTCCTCCCCTGGCCCAGCATAGAGTGTGTGTGTGTGTGTATGTATGTATTAATAGCCGTATCATAATGCCCAGCGCTGAGGTTGCGGCACACGGGCAACAACAACAACAACAACAATAACAGTTCACAGTAAAAGACCACAAATTATGGCAGCAGCAACCGTTGATGGGGCGTTGCTTGTTGTTGCAGCAGTTGCTGTTGCAGCAGTTCTTGTTGCTGTTGCCATTGTTGTTGTTGTTGTTGCTGCTCTGTACATCGTCGTGGATACGTGACTGACTGTTGGCCAGCTTTGCCAGTGCTTTGGCCGTATTGTGAGTCAGCAGCAGCCCCAAATGCGGTTGGCTGGAGTCGTCTATGGTCAGCCAGTTGGTCGTTTGGTCGGTCGGTTGGTCGGTTGGTTGGCTGTTTGGTTGGGTCGCAGCTGAACGAGCAGGCCACGAAAATTTAAGGTCAATAACGCTGTCAATTTCAAACGGCGCGTTGCCTCCATTAATGTCAACACGCGCTTTATCAACTTACAAAATATAGCCACACACACACACACTTAGAGAGTGTGAGAGAGCATGAGAGGGGGTGGCTGTAAAGGGGCGCCGCAAATTGTTTTCTAAACAGCCCATAAACATAAAACGAAACAAAACGAGAAATGTAAATGAAAAATAAAACTTAGCAAGCTGAGCGCACAGAGAGGCGCACAACAGCCAAGAGGAAATCCAATAAACAATTTGTATCATGAGTAGCGGAAAATTGTGTGTACGCACGCAGCTAAACGACGTCGTTGAGTGTGTGCGTGTGTGACTGTGTGTGTGTGTGTGTGTGCGTAATTTTGAAATGGAAAAGCTGTCGGCTGTCGACGTTCGACTGGCCCGACTGTCGGCCTCTGTCTGTCTGTCCCATCGTCTCTGTATGTTTGCGCTTGTATTTAGCTTGTTTTTCTCTCTGCAATCATCGCTTGCCAATAAGCTAACTAATTGACTGACAAATAGGCTACAACAACAACAACAACTGCTACGCCAATAACAACGAACGTCAGCAGCAGCAGCAACGGGCAGGCGACTTAAAATGCCTTCGCTGCTGCTGCTGCTGCATGGGCCGCACAACTGTACATTAGGGTGGTTATTAACTTGATGTTAATAATCTGCCGGCCTGTAGTCGAGCCGCAGACATCGTTAGAGCCGTGCAGGTAACAGTGAACTAAAACGACTACTGAATACGCTATCTGTGCATGAAACACTCGCAGATTACTAAGAGGAACAGGAATTACATTCCACATAATTGATAAACATGAAAAGAGTTCTACTAGCATTAAACTATAATGCTCTAAATACTTTTAATTTAGTATTCGTATATATTAAATTAATATATTTCAAATACATTTCTCTTATAATTCATATAAAATACTATTTACATTAATACTAATACTAATTCAAACATTTTCACTTAGCTAAAGGGCCTTCATATCGTCCATCTACTGCCATAAATTACCAAAAACTATGCACAGATATTTTGGCTTTTGGGTATGCGCCCCAGCAAATTAGCTTCGTCATGAACTCGACTAAATTCTCAAGAGTTTGTGGATGAGTGTGGCTCAATAGCTTGGAATGCCCGAAATCTGTTCAGTTGAGTTGAGTTGAGTGCCATGTGTCAAGTGCGGAAACCCCATTAAATGTGCTTGTAGGCAACAGGAGAAGGTGCCACACACACACACACACACTGTAGAAATACCTATGCTTGCGCGTATGTCTACATGGGTTTGTTGTGAAAGCCAAATTTTCACAACAAATCAAAACAGACGCCCGAGAAGTCACAAAAAAAAAAAAAAAAAAACATCAAAAACTAGAAACAAGAAGCCAAAAGGAGGTAGTCGAACAGCGTTCAAAGCACTCAACTCGTTGCCCAGAGAGAAGAAATAAGAAATAAAAAAAAACAAAGTAAATAAATAACCAACAAATTTCTCTTCTTTTCTTTGGTTTTTTGTTTTTGTTTTTGGGGCCCACATGGATATAGTCTGGCGTGTGTATGTAGATGATGTTCGAATGCAGGCAGCTTACAGTTGTTATACCCATTACTCAACATCAACAAGAACATTATGCCACATTCTCTTCATTCATGGACGCAGCTCTGCTCCCTCTCGTGCTCTTTCCCTCCTCCTCTTCACAACCCAGCATAGCTCCGTAAGAACTCCCATACGTTGCTCCACTTCATTCAACCGAACGATTGAGCATCTATTCAGGCACTGATGCGGTGCTCAAAAAAGCCAAACCGAAACCAAATAAACGACCCGCAACGACTGCGACGAGTTCACCTCTCACTCACTCACCCCTCCACCTCTCTCCGCACCCACACACTCATTCACTCACTCGCTCACTCTAACCTGTGCATCATTTGGGAGCGTTCGTGTGCAGCCGAACTTCACTTCGTTGTCGTCAGCGTCATCGTCATCGTCATAGTCGTGGTCGTCGTCGTCGTTGTTGTTTTTGTTGTTGTCGTTTATACGATTTGTTGGATTTGCTGCTCATGAAGTTGTTAAACAGATTGTCGGTGTAGATACCTTCATCATTCTCTTCATGTCTGACGACCCGCGTCTGCCTCTCTGCCGCTCTCGCGCTCTATATCTCACTCTCACAGCTGCCCATCCATCGCAGTCGGGCAAGTCATACAGCCAATTCACTGCTGTCTCACTCGCTCCCCTTCAAACTCTGTCCGCATGTGTGTGCCCGTGTATGTGTATGTGATGATGGCCTGTGCCCGTGTGCGTGTGCTTGTGCGATTAGTTTTATGTAATTTTATCGAGTATTTTAAGGATTTTGCGGCTTATCCGCGCTTCATTTGGAAATTGTTTCGTGTTACTTATGTCGCCCCGTTTTGCTTTAAACGGAAGGGCACATGCACAAAAGAAGAAGGGTAAGACATAAATAAGAATAAGGGCATGTAAAAGGAGACCGCTTGCCCTTTCATAGCTCTGGGCTCTGGTTGTTGCCGCTGCCGTCGTTGTTGTTGTTGTTGTTACTGTTAGGCCCGTTTCAAGTGTTTATGGCGCTGTCGTCATTGTTTGTTGTTCTTGTTGTTGTTGTAGGGCAACGAGTGTCAGAGAATGTGTGCCTGGCATAATGTAAATGAACGTTTTGCATGTAAAGTTAGCACTCTCGCTCTCTCTCCGTCCCCCCTCTCTCTGTCTCTCTCTTTCTTTCGGTCTCTTCATATCTAACGCTCTCGCATCACTCTAGCTGCCTTTTCTGTATAATCGAATTACAGACAATGAGAAAGATTTATGGGAATTCATTGTTGATATTGTTTATTTTTTTTAAACACGTTTATGCATTATATTCCCATTGGTTCATTGATTTTACACCGATTAACCTGCGCTTAATTATTTGACTTTATATTGTATATGTTTATGCATATATTTATATATAGATTTAATAGGTGCTTTGTGTGTTAATTATCTTATCGCTAATGGAGCCGAACGCAGTTGGAATGTTGTTGTTTTCACACACAAGAGACAAATTGGGATGGATATAGAGACGAGAGAGAAGGGGGAATATATCATATATTTTCAATAAGCTTTTTAAGCTATAAATGAACAAGGGATTTGTGAATTATTATTAATGTGTTTTTTGTTTCTGATTTAACATTTTAAATATGTCCGATAAAAGATTTGTTTATATTGTTATATGTATGTAAATATATATATAATTATTTACGTCATAAACCAGTCACATTTATATACATAGTAAACTTTTTTAATGAGTATTTGCCTTTGTATTTCATGAACTTTTATTATAGAATTTTAAATTTATTTTGAAAAATCATTAAATACGAACTAAGAGTGATTACCGTACCTATACTATATATATAATTATTGTTTTTCATTTATATATGATGTCATATATTAAAATATTATTTATATTATATAATCAATATATTTTACATCCATTTGTCGCTATTTCATTTATATTTATTATGATATTCCTCCCTTCAACTATTTCATTTGCTGCTTTGGAATTTGTTAAACATTTCTAAAATGATCTAATTTGTCAGGGCTCTATATAGATTTCTGTATACACACCTACACTTGCACACATACGTATACGTTCATTTCGACACATCTGTGTGGGTGTTTCGACGGCACATTTTATAATCAGTGGCAATAAATCGACACTCGAGTCCAAGTGTCTTGCTTTTTCAATCAGATAAGCGGTAATTATAAATTAAAAGCCCCGGCAAACAGATTAATAAAACGTAAACTTTAACAGCGCATTATAAATAAGCCAAAAAGACTAATAATAAAATATGAAATGAAATCGACATCAAAGGCCGCCTACAACCCTTTCCCCACCGACAGCTTGATTATCATCCATCTAGCAGAAAAAAAAACACAACAACAGCGACATCAGTGGGTGTGGGCGTGGGCATGGGCACTTTCATTTTGTTGCCTTTCTCGCTGTTGTTGTTGTTGTTGTTTTTGTTGGGTCATGAGTTTCCGCCCGTGGCATTAGCGCGTTACGAGTTCGCTTTTGTTTTTATTAAATGCATTATTAGCACGTTATTTATTAATTAAACACTTCACGTTTTTATTCCCTCCTAATCGGGCTGCCTATTCCCGACCCCCTTCCCGCTCCACCTATCTAACCAGCCAGCCCAGCGAAGAGCTGCCCACTCGCTCGTTAGCTGAAAGAGATAAGCTCAAGCATTGGCGCTCATGGAAATTAGCCAACGAACAGAGTTGCTCGATAAGCCGCAAGAGAAATTTCATTGGAATTATAATCAAAGAACTTGGATAAGTTTCCCACGAATTCAAAATCATAATTATTCATATTTAGGATGACTGCATAAGGTCTATCGATAGATTTGGTAACATATCAAAAATGATGATGATGATGATGATGATGATTCGCTTTTAATGGAGCTCTCTCCCAACTGTAGTTGAGTGTGTTATTGAATGCTCGTTAAATAAATAGATTTGTTTGCATTTTAATTATGGTTAACACCAAGTTATCGACCACTCGGCAATTAATCAGCGAACGGCGCGCAAAACTAATTGACAGCTTGTAGATGTTACGCTCTGACAGCTCAACGACGACGACGACGACGACGACGTCGACAACGATTGAAGCAACGGAACATGCAACAACAACAACAGCGACAAGCTCTCTAGCTGGAATCACAGTTGCGTGAACTTGAACTACTGACTCAGTGAACAGCTTTGCGTTGTGCTGGCAACTGTAATTGGCCATAAGTTCAAATGAACTTAATGCAACCATGATTAAGATATAAAATTAGAATACAGTGAAAGCTGTTTATAGAGAAGAAATACTATATAAAATAATATACAAAATATTCAAAATTATCTTTCAGTGAAATAATATTAAATGAAAATCTATTTTGTTTCCACATAACTTTAAACTTTATCCGAAATTCTTTATAAATATTACCTTTCACAGACCTAAACTCATGTTGATGCCCTAATGAAACCAACAATGCGGGGTATCACTTTACAAATACCATTTTCTAGTTTATAATAAACTTCTATTCAATATGAACGCCGTTCTGTATACAATATGTAAGAGTTTGTGTGTGTGTGTGTTTCTATGTGTGCTGGGGCACTTGAAGCACTTTGCCTAATTAGTTTATGATGCATTGAGTGAGCCTGGCAATTTGCTTGTCTATCACAGCAGGCCACATCGCCTCCCCTAATACCCTACACACATAAACACACACACACACACACTTTTATACGCTCTCGTACGTAGTTCAATAGTTTTAGCCATGAAGCGAAAAAGAGAGTTGGGATTTAGCGAGAGCCCCGAGGGTCAGTTGTAGAGGAAGATGACATATGAGCCGGCGGCAAATTCGATATTATTATGCGTGTGTATGCGAGTGTGTGTTAGGCAAACAAATAATAATAATTAAATACATATATGCCTAGTTCAACAGCTGTTCTCACCATGAATCCAGTATAGATGTGTGTGTGTGCGTGTGTTCCAGCAAGCAGCTCGAACTCGAATTCGAAACCGGGTGGCTGCGGCTCCCACTTGGCCCGCTAACAATATCGTTGACGTGCGTGCGAGCGAGTGAGATAGAAGTATGCAGAGATATCTAGTGATGATGATGCTGTTGCTCCTCCTGTTGTACCGTTACTTTGGCAGGGCGCACAGGCAGCCGGAAATGTAGATTTTGGTTAATTTGCACTTGGCACAGCTGGAAACGAAGAAATGACGTAGGTGAGAGACGAGCTGATGATTATGATTAAGCAGATGACGAAGAAGAAACTGGACTGAAGTTGCAGAGTGTAGAGAGAAGAAAAAGAGCAACGAATGCAAAAATTATAAAACAAGAAAATTGCAGTCGAGTCTAACCAACTACGCAATTCCCTGTCGAAATCGGTGACTAACTAATATTGGAATTTATATTTATTTTGTTTTGCGTTTATAGTCCAGTTATCAGATTTAAGTTTTGTTTCGGGATATATAGCATAACACTAATATGCCCATTGAACACTTTCTGTAGTGTATTATAAAAAGGCGCGAGTCACACAACAACAACATCGACGGCAACAACAATATATTTTTTAGCCAACGTCAGCGAAAAAGCAACAAAAGCAACGCTTAAGCAGCAGCAGCGAGCGGGCAGCGGGTGGGCGTGCAGCTTGTCATATGAAGGGTGGTCACAGCAGCAGCAACAGCAGCAGCCAGCTGCGTCGGTGGTGGGTGACGCCGCCGTCACCGTTGCCGTTGCTGCTGCTGCGCTTTGTGATTCCTTTTCAGCACAAAATTTGTTGAGCCTTTGAGTCGTCGTCGTCGTCGTCTTCTTCTTTGTATTGTTCTACCCCAAAAAGTCCATAATAGAAACGTCCCCTGCTCCACAAGCCAAAGTCGTAGCCACCGTCGTCGTCGTCGTCGTCGTCGCCGTCGTCATCATCATCGTCGTCTGCCTCTGCCCGCTTTGGCTTTTTCACTTTACTTTGTGTGCAAACACAGTTGCAGCGCCGACGCCAACTAAAAAGACGTCGACTGCGACAGCGACGCGTTTCATACGTTTTTCACTAATAAATTTTAATGATTTCTACGCTGCGCATTACGACGACGACTAAGACGTCGACGTCGACTGTGACTGCGATTCGGGCGACGCTTCAAATGAAATTAGTGACACACTTAAATAATAATTAATTTTTGCACACTTGTTGTAGTTGTTGCTAACATTTAGAGACTTGAAAAGTTTCTGTTTCTGTCTTAACTGTTGTTGTTGTTGTTGTGTGTGCGCGTTTTAACTTGTCAGTGGGGCCTAACAATACGTTTTTTAATGCTCTTCTGTTTTGTCTTCTTCTTTTTTGCATACACTTTGCGCACACACACACACAGGCAAACGCTCGCCATACACATGCAGAAGCAGTTACACGCGCACACAAACATACACACACACTGACTAACACACACACTCACGCACTTCGCTTGCTTTGCGTTTTTTTTTTATTGCTGCGGAGATTTTTGGGCACAATTTTCGCTGACTTTGAAACGCAATTTGTGTATACTTTCACACGCGTATTACAGCGACAGTGGCACGTGAAAGTCTTGCACTATAATTTGACTAAATAATATTAGCACAAATGCGTGTTTTTTTTAGTTCTTAATGGTACAACAAAATTTCTCCGCGTATAGCAGAAGCCACCATTTTGCGACTCTCGATGAACAACAAGCAATGCAACACTGCACAGGGTTGCAAGTCTGGCAGCACTGTCCATTCGATAGCCAGCCATTAAATACCAACGAACGATGTACACACTATCGATATATTTAGTATGAAAGGTATTTTATGTGCACTCGCCAGCTGGTCACACTTGCTTCAGTCAGTTCTATTGTTTAGCGTCGTTCGCGTCTCTCTGTAGCACGCAAATTAAATAACAATTGCACAGCAAATTAAAAGATATAAAGACGTAAATTCAACTTTTGTGTGTGAAACTACAGTTTATTTTTGATTTAATAATCAACAACCAGCATTTAAGCACTGTAAGCAGCTACGATGTCCGAGTGCGCCAGTGAAGTAGCCGAACCGCAGACAGGTAAGCGCAAAAAAATTGCCTTTGTTTACCTTCGCTTGGCCGTTGCAATTTGCATGGGCAAATTGAGCGCTCAAAGCGGCCGGCAATAATGTAAAATCGTATTCGAAATTCGAATTCAATCATAGCAACAGCCACTTCTGTGTGTGCGTGTGCTTGAGTGGTAATTTCCGAGTGTGTGCGTATGTGTGTGTGTGCCAGTGCGTGTTGCTTGTTATGTATGGAACGCCAGTCCCCTCGATGCCCCCTTTTGAGGTTGCCTTGACAGTTTAGCTATTGTTGTTGTTGTTATGTATTGCGATTTGTGCAAATCAAAATATCGACAGTTTATACACCTTCAACATGTGCTTTTGTTGTATTTCTTCCGTTTGGCCTTGTGCTGTCTCGGCTTGTTTCGCTTTTACCGCCATATTAAATATAATATTTGTATAATACTTATTCACGGTCACTCTTAAGCCAATTTTCAATGCGAGCTGCACTTAGTTCCTGATTTTTAACCGTGTACTTGTAAGTCTATGCATGTGTATGTGTGAGTGTGTGTGTGTGTGTATGTATGTTGGTTCTCTAATTAATTTACACAACTTTGGTCACATTTTTCTTTTCCTTATCAGAACTGTCTTCTTATCAATTATGTGGAAGCTAAAAAGCGCTTGACAAACACTTAATCAAAAAAATAATGAACAAATGGACAAAATGTTGTTAACAAATGCTTAACAATGTGTAGAGAATTAAGTAGAAAACAGGCTTTTGACATGGAGCTATACAAGTTTAATAAAACTATTGGAATTGAGAATTAAATACGTTATAATAAATAATATTTGCATCTATGCGCGTGACATTTTATATTCAATTATTAAAAACCCATTCAACCGGTTCCCTATAAGGTATCTAGCTATATTTATTATTGTTAAAAGGTAATTATTTCCCTGGGAAACTTTACTTGGCATAAGTTTCTATAAGCTACTAGATTTTTGAGTTGGCATTGTAAATATGCATAAAAACGTATGCACATGTAAATATTTATATCTTAAATGCATATGTGTGCAAATATTTACATTAAAAATGTATTCTAGTTGGCACTTTAACTTTTACCAAGTCATTAATGATTCATAAGGGTAATCAGATTTATTGATATGCATATAGAAGTGGCTGACGAGTCTAGTGTGTACAGTAGAAACTTCCTAATACAGACACATGTTAGTTCACAGATTTGGTAAACTTAATAGAAAGAATAGCCATTACAGAGCATCTGCTAGTCGTGCCACACGGCACTCTTTTTGCTTCATTTAAGCAGTTCTTTGTGCTTGGGAATGTCGCCACAGATTAGTTGATTTCGATTTCATTTTCTATTTCAATTTCAATTTATATATTTATTTCGGTTTGCAATTCGCTAATTTATGGCAGTAATGAATCGCCGCAGCCCATAAAGCACAGCTGCAATTGAAGACGAGGGTACACATACTCAATCATCTCACACACACACACACAGACACACAAACATGCCTAGTTGGAAACATGATCCAAGTCAATTATCGCCTCGATTTACCACCTGGCCACCCCAACGAGGCGCCTTTCGAGTTGGCTTTTTAATTAAATTGCACAAAGCGCGGTCTGTCAACAAATGTTTTATTGTTTCGCATACGCGCACTCATGCATGCAAGCACATGCACACATGTACACATGCAGGCAGGCATGCATGCATGTGCCATGTGCCATTCGCATACATATTTGCATGCAACTGCAATAGTTTGCTGACTATTAATAGGTGTTATTGTTATTGTAATTTTTGTTGCATTTGCAAATGCCGTTCGAGAGCTGCCCTCTGCTTAAGCATTCGCATACACTTGGCGAAAAAATGGTAATGAATTGTGGTTGTATTACCAATTCGAAGAAAAATAAAAAATATTTAGCAATAGAAATTTAAAATTAAATAAAAAAGAAAATTTATTAAAAATTAAAAATATATTAAAAATAAAAAATTAATAAAACAAGTACAAGTACAAGTACAAGTAAGTAGAAAAATTAATAATAACTTAAAAGGAAACTTTTTAAAAACTAATAAAAAATTACTAGAAATAAAATAAAAATTATAAAATATAAAAAACTCTTAAAAATAAAAAATAAATAAATCAAATACTTAAAAAAAATGATAGGATTTTTTAAAAATTTAAAACAATAGCTGAAAAAAATAAAGAAAAATAACATATAAATAAATTATAAAAAATAAATAATAAAAAAATAATAATAAAAATAGAATAATAACAAAATTTGACAAACTTGAAGAACTGAAATCAATTTGCATGTAAAGTTGCTCAATTTCTCGCAGTGTAATCGTGCAACAGGGGGATGCTGACATATTCCTGTGCAGCCTTGCACTTTGATTGACAGGTGTAGCGTGACACCTTGACAATTGTTTTGATTTGGAAAAACGTAAACATAAACACACAAGCTGCATACGTTATGCAGTTTAGAACCCCACTGAGAAAGCAACAGGAGAGAGTGAGCGAGAGAGGGCGCGAGGAGCATTCGTTTCGAAGGGCACATCGTGCCACACACTCACTCACACACACACACACATATATATATACACATTGCATTACACATTCAGAAATATTCGGATGCCTATTTATATGTTGTCGCCGCTGTTGCCCAATTTCTCGATTCCCCAACCCAACAGCTCGGAGCAGAGAAAAGTAGAGCAGCCCAACGAGACAAAATGTGTGCCACTCATTGAACAATTTCAATTATTAACTAATATATAAGATACATGCATATAGAAATTCGAATTGCTCGCCTGAGTACAGTGAAAACTTGCTAAGAAGTCTTGATGAGGCAGAGAGAGAGAGAGCGTACTTAAAGCAATTCAAGCTATCAAGTGGAAGTTTGAGGTTTGAGCACTTGAGAGACACTTGATGAAATGGTTTTGATTATCTGAGGACTGTTTGGATTATTGTTTGATTGACCTTTTTGTTGATTGAGGCGCTTGTTGTGTGATTGACAATATAATATTATTTTGATTGAGTCATTGGAGTTTGAATTGTCAGATTGCTAATCGATTCATTGTCTAAGAACTGACTGTGTTTTTGATTCTTTACTGATTGACTTACTGATTGACTGATTGACGACCTAACCAATGGTTTCCTAATTGAACCGATGGAATGATTTCCAAGATGTTTTTTAAACGGCGAAACTGTTTTTTGATTACTTTTAACTGATTTATTAGCTAACAGATTGTTTGACTGTATTAATCGAATTTATTGATAGATTTATTGATTGATCGAATTGATTTACAGTTTACTGATTGATTGATTGACTTATTGATTCAGTGGACTGTCTACTGATTGATGGAGGTTGATTGCCCGCAATCGCAGATCCCTAGTCTTTGCATAATGAATAAAATGTACAGTAGTCACTCTATGTGACAGCTCGACGAGCCTTCAAAGTTATTTGCCAACTTTTAAGCCAATTTTGCTGCCAATTGAATTGTCGTCAATAAATGTTGTATAACTTTTTTTTTTTTTTAATTGATGTAAAATCGTTTGCAATTCGTGCTCAATTGTAAATTCACAAATTTTCCAAGTTCATTTTCGATTTTGCTAACAAGCTACTGAAATTATACGTGCCCAACTGCTTGGGGAATCTCTCAGCAGCAGCAGCAGCAGCAGCAGCAGCAGCAGCTGAATAACATGTGACTGTTCATAGGAAAACAAAGAGATTCCTACGTCAGAGCTTTCGGGGCACTGGCAATCGTCGAGCGGAACGAATGCCGCTGGTAAACGGAGAACTTTTGAAAAGGTTTTCTCTGTGGACCGCTGCCTGCCCCCCTCCAACCCACTTGGGATGTTAATTAAGTGCGCTCCACAAACAAACCAATTGAATAACATTTTTTCTACCAGCTGTATGCATAGACTAAACGTTCATCAATTGCGATCGAGCGACAATCGTTAAACTGGCTAGAGATTGGAGAGGGGCGTGGCAAAATCAGAAACCAAAATCTGCTGTGAAGAGGAAAAGGTTTTTGCTGTATTACTCACTCACTCTCTAGCTTCCTGTGCCTTTCTCTCTCTATTTTACTTTCGATATATGTATGTATATATTTGTCTGTCTCTCTCTCTCTCATTTCTTCCTCTCTCTCTCACACACAGTGTGTCTCACTCATATTTTGCTTTGATCTCTGCATAGAGCTTGACTTTTCTATTGAAAGCAAGAATGAAAGCAAACAAGCCTCAATGAAGGCAGAGAGTGGAACGAACTTGCCGTCCATTCGTCCGTCCATCCGTCCGTCCTTCAATATTGATTCGCTTTTAAGCAGATTTAGCTGGATTAATGTAAATTGAAAGAAAACGTCACCAAGAAGAGGCACAAGAAATTATTTTCATAAGCAAAAAAGTTGAGCGCGTTCAATTTTACATTAGGCAGGCAGAAAAAATACCCGCTGAGTGGCTTTTCCTGTAAATAATTTCAATTAAAGTCGCATTAAATGCGAATAAATTTCAATCTGTCGCAAACATATTCACATACATGTATAAATAAATATATCTATATAATATATATAAATATTATGATATATTTTGTGTCTTTGCTGAGCGGGCGATCGGCCAAAAAGCAAAGCAAAGAATTTTGTTTTTGTTGTTCTTTGCTGAG